CATGTTTCATATATCAAATAAATATATATATACTCACCAGTTTTATAATATATTTAAAAATATATATTTAATTGTATACAATTATATTTTTTAACTCTAAACTTGTTTGAGCTTAAAAGAGTTTTAGTTTTACTTTTTGTAATTTTTTTCCAGCATAAAAGGTGAAAAAGTTTATGTCAAAAAAGGTAGATCTATTAATGAGGTGCAGTTAGATACTTATTCCAATGGAACTGAAGATGTTGTTTTTCAAGAAAATTTTGAATTTCCTAAGAATTCAGAGAAATTAATTGATTTTTGTGTTAAAACTATGGGGAATCAGTATAGGGGATGGAGGAATAAGCTGTATAATCTCTATAAAAAGTATAATAATGATGCAGAAAGATTAGATAATTGTCTAGAAGAGATATCTGAAGAACAATGGACTTACTGTGTTGCATACTTTGGCTCGAAAGAATTTCAGGTAATAACAATATTTATTGAATATTATTAAATTAAAAATGTTAACAATAATATTTTGATGTACTTTATTTTATATAGAAAAAAAGCAAGCGAAATTCCAACAATGCCAAAAAGAGGAAAAGAATTCATATCACTGGCAATGTATCGTTTGAGGAATTTGAAGCTAGATTGGTAAACTCTTTATTGAATTAAGTAATCTATAGGTTGATAATTAACAAATGAGTTATTACTTGATTTTTTATTTTTTTGACTAATATTCTATTATTTTTATTTATGTATTATTAGAATGATCGTATAAAGAAGATAAAGTTATCTCCTGCAGAAGTTTGGTTGCGTCAGCATTCTTGAGAGGTAGAAAAAAGAAATTTTGTCTAGACAGATCCATAATCAAAATTAATTGGAGTAAGTTTTGAATATATTTTATACATAATTATTTTTATGATATTTGGATTTAAATTTTTTAGGTTATATATTTTCTAATGTGTTTAGATTTTTTTAAGTATAAGAAACAAAAATAGAAAAAGATTGTAGAGGTTGATCGGTCCTTATATATATTCTAATATGGTGTCATTTTTTTTTTTTTTTTTTTTTTTTGGCCCTTTTAGGGGAAGATGATGTAGTCATAAATGATTTTACCTATCTAAATCTTATTAAGTAGTTAGGGTACGTGTTGCGATTGGTAAATGAAAATAAGATAATTTCACCTATCTAAATTCTATTAAGCAAATAAGGTAGAGCTTGCATTTGGTGGATCAAAAAAACATCTACTCATAATTTTTTATTTTTTATTTTTTTGGAAGAAAAATGAATAACTAACATATTATATATGTATTGCAGGAACGCATACAACGTTTGTTAGATAAAAATGCAAAAAAAGGAATTGAAATGTCAAATAAAGATATATATGATCATGTTTTGCAGCAGGCTCTAACCATGGAGTTGGTAATGGTAGCAAACGTCCACTTTTATCTAAGCTTGTGAATCAACAAATGAGGATCAAAGAATTAGAACAGAAATTGCAATCTCTCAAAAAAGAAAAGAGTGAAATTTTGGCAGAAAGAGAAAAATATGGAGAAGAAGTATTAAATAATATCCGATTACAGTATGAGAAAGAGAATGACAATAGTTGGAAAGATAATTTTACAAATTTGAAGTAAATATTAAGTGTAAATACTTTTTTTTTGGAGGATTTATTTTGTTTAAATTTATGTCTTGTCGAATATTATTTTTAATTTAATAAAGTGTTTTAGTTTTATAATTTTATTTTTTTATTAAT